GCGCGTGCTCGTTGGAACTGCGGTCCCACCCCCCCCCCCCCCCCCCGACCCCAAACACACTCACAGTCATCTGTCCAGGACCGAGGCATCTCAGGAATTAAGCAGCAGACCAACATGTGAGTCTCCTCTGACATTTTCCTCACAAGTTCCAAACACTGTGATCCATAATTTACACTACAAAGTGTGCATTCTAACTTAAAACTCACGAGTGAACTTCTTACCAACAACAGTGACCATCCACACCAGGATGTATGTGAAACCTGAGATCCAGACTGCGGACATGAAGAAGGTGATGACGAACCATTGCTTCCAGAACCGCCTTCTGCAGTCGGGGACGGTGAGGAAAAGCAGGACGATGATCGGTAGGGACAGAACCCAGAGGATCCTTTTCAAATCGCTCTCGGGCACAGTGAACACACCTTTATGCTCTGTAGATAGATTGGCCACAATTAGGCTCAAGTAAAGTGAATTCAGGGAGTTGTTTCGAAATACATTATGCATGTTTAAAGATAGTTGTTGAAAACATGAAAAGAGTGAGAACTATACATATTGTAGTACCGAATTATGGAGATATAGCATTGAAATGTTTTTAGTTTCCCAGATTTTTTTTCTGTGGCGGTGTGCCTAAAACTGGGTCCTCCCCTACAGTATAATTTGAAATGACTTGAATAGCAGCGGTTGTCCAGCGCTCACTTGTAGATAGCAACCTATGCCCACACCCCAAAAATACATCTTCCCTTTGGAAAGTCCACTGGAATGGCCAATTTAGAGTGCCTCGTTGCCTGCCGTGAGTGTGCAGGAGAGCTCGGGATTTAAAAATAAATAACAACTGCCAGCGTGCAGACATGGCGTGGGAAAAGCCCTGCAGGAATATACTTTGCATAAGAGCCACCAGAGGCTTTAAGCGGATACGTTTTTCATGGTTCACACATGTAATTATGTTCGAAATCCATTTTTCTCGGACACGCCGTCCCAGCATTTGACTGTGGACACAAGGACTTGATTTTTCATTTTGAAGTCTCATTTTAAATAAACTCTTTTTAATCAGACAAAATTGTTAGGGTTGTGACAAATACTCTTCTGTGCCGTGTCAAATTCAGAAAATAGATATTTTCACTATTCAGAGACTTTTGAGATTGTATGTTGTAGAGAGGAACTGGTTGGCCTAAATTTGAATTTGGACCAGAGCATCTTGTTTCTTGCGGGGTTTTGCTTTGCGGAGATTTTTCATGCGTCTTGCAGTAAAGAGCCTTCATCAGTGGAGGACTGAAACTTTTCTCTTATCTCCACACAACATCTGTGGAGCTCAGCCACAGTGAGATCTTGTTCTCGGTTACAAAGCCTCGTCACATCTGACTGTTAAACGTTAGTAACAGTTGTGATGGTGTCACAGCTTACCATCAGGAATTTCATTGAGGCCATGCAAGCTAAGGGACAGATGGGAATATCCCGAGTCATCCTGGAAGATTCCACTGTCCGTCCTGGAGCGGCTGTGGACTCGCAGGCTTGTGTCGTCGTGCCAGAGGCCCACCAAGGGTCTCGTTTCGCTTTTCTCCCCAGAGCCTTTACCCAGGCAGGTGCAGCAAGGACTGATCTTCCTCAGGACAAACTCACTGATACGGAGGTCAAAGCATAGGACGACAATGTAGATTCCGTAGACCAAGAGGAGACAGGCCGCGTCGTACCTGAAAAGTAAGATGTTTGCGTGATGTTTGCCCATGGCAGAGTTCTGCTCGTGGTTAAACTTCTTGTGTCTGACAGGTTGTTGTTCTATAAACAAGTTAAGACTGAATTCGCCGCAGTTCTGCTAGTACCCTGGTCAGAGGCCGTGTTCCCTAGCATATTTGCGAATACTGGATTTTTTTTAATTCACTTATAAACACCCTGCCAAATATAAATGAATTGCTTTGGCGCCATTTTGTAGTCTGTTGGAGTGAAAGAACTACAGTATGTTGAAGTAGTGAGGGAGGACCTTAATTTAGTCAGCGCACAGCCCAGTGTAATAAAAAAGTAGTGCTTGTGGCACCTATCGGCCATTCTAAACCTTTTCGGGCGGGAATCAATTATTCACAAATTTTCCACATTAGTGGAGCTGCGACCTCCCGCAGATAGCGAGGGAACCCTACTCCACTTTTCTTGAGCTGCTTGTGGTCGTTTTTCTTCCATTGATGTTCCTTCCTTTTGTGGAAATCAACAAATTGTTGATGTCAAATCAAACTAATTAAAAGCCAGCTCTGTCAAATCAAATCTGAAAGAAACGTATTCAGAAAAGTATAATGACAAAGTTATCCTACACCTGATCCAGTTGGTGGCCCCTTAAATGTAACATGTTCAGATATCACAATTGTTGAATCACGTTCGGGCTGTAAATCTCACGTTGCCCTTAATCCTATGAATTATTAATCTTAAAGTAAACAAATGTTTAAACCTTGGCAGGGGTCAAGACCCTCGAAATCCTCCTTGTTTATGACTTCGAGTTCAAATCTTATCATCTCTGAATCTTGACTCATATCTTGATCACAGAAGCACAAATGATATGCATGAAATCTTTCTATAAAGGAGACATTTATCACACCGTGCTATCACATCATAAACGTCTGTGATGTCTTTTCGGTACTGTTTTTGTTCTTGCTGTCATGAGACACAATCAACAGCTGTTGTGTTTTACAAGCACCTCAAGATCCCATTCTCCTATGGTCATGCTCACTCACCAGTACACCTTGTTGTCAGAAATGATGGCAATAACGACGGCGACACTGATGCCGTACGCCAAGCAATCCCTGAACAATGGCCAGCAGGTGAGACGTCCTGCCTGGAACAACAAAAACAACATTTACAACTTGCATAAAGATCACACTTTTACAGTAGCAACTTAAGTAGGTCAATGTGTGGATGTACTGGAAAATGTGTACCATAGAGGCCAAAAGTCCACATGCAGCACAGATGCCCAAGAGGTTGTACACAGCTGAGCCCACGATAGTGCTGACCCCAATGTCCCCCTTTGTCACAAAAACACCTGACACACATTGAAAAAACAAACAAACAAACAAACAAAAAAAGGATGTTAGTTGAGGGAATGTAGTGAAAATTAAAATCATCCTTATCACAATGTTTACCCAGAAAGGCTGTCACCAGCTCAGGTGCAGAACTCCCAGCGGCCATGAATGTAGCACCAGCGACATCTTGAGACAGTCCCAAACCTGAAACATAATAGAATCATGGAACCAATAAAAGCATAAAAGAACAAAGTGTACTGTATATCGATTGTTTAAAAACAAAAAATAAAGGGACTATTCTCTTTTGCCAAGGAATTGTTAAAGTGAGTTGAGGAGCTTCATTTAGACAAAAGCAAGTCTAGAGACTTTCAGGGTTTGGTCAATATCGAATCCGAATAGCAAGGGCTCATTGTTCTATAGTGAGCACTGTTTTCTGTCTACATTTGCTGCTGTACCATTTGTGTTCAATCCTTTGCTAAAAGAGGTCAGTCACTGTAGCATCGATGCTATTTACAGTTTGCAATATGCTAGTCGACTGAAAGGATAAGCTACGTAGTAGTTTTGAATAACACAAGACGGAATTCTTTTTACGTTTAGTTTGACGATTAACTTTGACCTGTTATCTTATCAAACAAGGAAGTATAATTCCTGCACAAGGACATGAACAATGCCTTTCAACATAATTTCATGTCTTATGTTGTAATTAAATAGGCATGTATAATTTTTTTCAATAAATTCATTCATTCACAATCGAAGCACAATTCATAATGTGGCTTTAAAATACACATTAGCATATAAGAAAAATGACATGGACATGAAGACACAGTGCTAAATCAATGACTATGATGGATTTTTCATGAGTTGAGTTTGACCACTTTGTAGTATGCTTCCCACTTTGTAGGAACGTTTTAATGAATGCCTTTTCTGTAAAGTCCAGTTTGTTGTAGAACTTGCACAGAAATCTGAGCCCAGCCCCAGAACCCCTGGAATGAACTACTAGAAGAATGGAGGAATGACAGTGAGCCAGCAGGCCCTTTCTCAGGTTTGACATTGGTGAGCTTACCTCCCGGATAAATTCCGACCCACACACGAGTTAGACATTCTACTAAAGTATTTAACACCAACTTACGCTCACTGATGACTTCTAAGGATGGGAGGAAGTAGTCATCACAGACTATCGCAACGGCCAAGAGCATGTAGAAAATGAGCAAGAAATAGATGACAAGGCCTCCATCCTTCCTCTCCCGCACGGTGAAGAAGCCATCAGGGAATTCGGACGAGTGAGGTGCGATACACTCTGTCTCATTCTCTGAAATGGAAATGTAGTCATATTGGGACCCCATTACATTCCATTTTTGCACATCTTTACTAAAATACCGTTGGAGAACGCAGTAGTTGTAATGCGTTTTTTTTCTAATGGGAAACTAGTGGTCGGCATATCTGGCTTACAGCTCCAAGGATCTGGTTTTGAATACCAGCTGTGGCTTTCCTGTGTGGACTTTGCATGTTCTCCCTTTGCTTCTGGGTTCCTCCCACATTCCAAATTCATGCATGTTATCCAAGTTCAAGACAATTGTTGAAAATTGTTCACTGGTCCAAATGTGATTGGGAATGACCGGTGGCCAATCAAATTTGTGCACTGTGATTGGTTGGCAACCAGCCCAGTCGAGCGTGTACCACAACTCGTCCAGTCAGCTTGGATAGGCACAGTGTTTTTCCCCTTAAAGAAACCATTTAAAAATTAAAAATATATTTTAAAATATTTCGAAAAAATTGGGTTAAAAAAAATCCGCAAATAGGTACAGTACATCCATGGGTGACGAACCGTGAGTCGGTGGGAGTCCACTGTATTTGTTTTTAATTCAGTGATCCTTTCATGTACCACTAGAGGGCGCCCATATGACAATTTGAGAATCACTGTGACCATTCGAACTGATTCACGGACTTACGTATATGATGGACTAACAATGGCACTTACTCGCCGTAGCGAGAATTGAACTACCGGCAGCCATCTTGCTAAGCGCACCTATCTCAAATACATTGACTTTTCAACGGTGGTTTCACATTATTTTCTGTCTCTACGGCAAAAAGACTACAAGGTACTCAAAAAAAATGTATTGGCATCATTTTATCAAAACGATTAACAATGAATTGAAAGGAAAGCCCATGATGACAATATTCGCTGTGAAATGTGAACCAAGTCAGTTACAATTCATGATACTGAGGTAATATAATCTGACTGTCTGACACAAACAGTGAAGTTCGGTCTTTGAAAGGCTCTTGTTATGCCATACAGGAGTTGTGGCATAAAACATGCGCCATGAACAGTGTTTTCAGCCAAAAACCAAACAGAAGTTGTCAGTAACAGTGGCAACATAAGGTGGCTGCCCTCTGGTTTCAGTCGCAAGGGGCCAATTGTTAGTCCATAAATCGGTAATCTGAATATAAACCGAGGTTACGAGAGCTGTAAAAGGTTGTGTTCGTATGCAGTCAATCACACCAATGATATTCTTAACATACTCAATTCACTTTTTTTCCATTATCAAAGCATTGTTCTTTTATTATTTACAAGCTGCTTTCGAGTTATTATTCTGACTGGTGGCTGAGGCCAGTAAATGTCAGACTTGCCAACAAATTCTCAACTAAATCATTGTTTAAAGTCTTAAATTGTAATTTCATGGCTTTCCACGCCAATGAGACGTGGGCATTAGTGAGTCAAGAACTGCCACTGTTTGAAGTGCAAAATCAGGCGAAACATTTATAATGAAGCGTTTAATTGCTTGAACATTACATCGGCCTAATGCCTACCAACATCACAATGGAAGCAAGTGTCTCTAACAGAACTGCACTGGTGAATATCAAAATACAAATACTTTGATACTTAAGCAGATTTTGTCAGGCATGTGGTTGGAGAGCTATGCCGGTTCATGACAGAGGGAAAGTAAGAGTTTTTTTTTTTTTCCCAAGCGCCACGTTATGAAAACAAGTTTTGTTTGGACACGAATACAGTGGTTCTCAAACTTTTTACATCAAGTACCCCTTCAAAAGATACTTACCAAAATAAATACTAATTGTACTTATTGTAAGCCATAGCAGCATTGCAACATTAATATGTTGAACTTGATGACAGTGCTTAAATATGGGAAAATGTACTTTTTACCCCTTTCATTCCCTATTAAAATCAGTGAGCTACCACCAATGATACCGATATCACACTTATAGAATCACTGCACTAATCCATTGATCCGCAAAGTGTCACACTAGTATATAGGCTCCCTTCTACTGGTACATGAAAAAAAATAATAATTAAAAATTCTCACTCTGCATAATGTCACAGTGGGCTACACTTATTATTATTATCATTATTATTATTACCGTAATTTTGTTATGTACAGTTCAGTTGTGTTCAACTTCACTTAAGTCATTCATTATTTAAGTATTTTTTTCCATTGACTTACATTTATATAATATTAAAGTTTAAAATTTAAATTGTGCTTACGGGTGCTTAAAACATTACACAGTACTTGTATATGAACAATATACTATCACCATTTAGGAATAAATAAGACCCGTGTTTCATTTTTTTGAAGGCTTGGGCCCACGATGCCAATGTATCTGAATGTCGGGCATGGCCGTAGGTACTTGAAGTATTTATGCAGGTGGTACTTGTAAAAAGTATGACAAACACTGCACTAATCCGTAGCAAACATTCACTTTTACTTTTGTACTTCTTTCATTTTATTTGAGAAAAAAAAAACAGTTGAATCAATAGTTATACTATATTACCAGTCCCTTTTTCATGTGTCTGTACTTCTTGTAGTAAATACAGCGGGTGAGTACTTTAGCCACCTTGGTATAACTATTCAACGTATAAATGTGCTTTACTTACCAAGTGCACGGCGCACCCTTATCGTGTGGCTCCAGTCAGTTGTATTGGCTGTGAATGATACAAGCTGAACGCTGCAATACAAGAACAGGACAAACCCTAAAAAATAAGGTATAAAATCTTTTCTCTTCTTGCTCTGACGAGCTGCGACTTTATTCGTGGCCATTTGAGTTAAAAAAGAAGAAGAGGAATCCAAGAAGTCATATAGGCTTATGAAGTGTGCTGTATAAGAACTACAACACTACAAGCTGAGAAGCGAGTGAGGGAAAGAAAGAGAGTGTTTGAGGGGAAAAGCATCTTTTAAGGTCTACTTTGTTAAGAATGGGGGATCACGAGTTGTGAGTCATTCCAGTTGAGCAGACTGCAGCCCGGGGCGGTGGGGGGTGTGTGCAATCAGGATAAAGTGTACAAAATGTAATTACAATCAAAACATTGGGACAAGTAAATCACATTTACTCGTAAGTGAAACAACCATGCAAAACATACAGTAACTCACATAGTAGGGCTGAATGATTTTGAAAAATAATTAATTGCATTTTCCTCCCTTCGATATTACGATTGTGATTGAAAATGTTTTTAAAAGGTCCTATTCCCATGCAGGGTTTTTTTTTTTTTTTAAACAAATCAGATTTCTGATACATTTTTGGTCTTACAGGTTAGCCTTATGCTAAAATGCAGGAAAATGAACCATGAATAAATATGAAAGACAGTTTGTTTTTAAGACATCATTTTTTTATCTTTTGTTAACTATATTTATAACTTTTATTTTGACTTGCAGACTTGCAGTCTTTTAAGTGGTCACGATACACAATTCGTGTGTAAACATGCAGTGTAAACATAAGTCAGTCAATCATAAATCAGATTCCAACAATAATGCAAATAAATCTGTGGCTTTACAAATGTAATTTTTCATGATCCCTGAAACAATGACATGTAGACATGCACTCCCCAAAGTGTACCTGTGGCGGTCAGAAGAGAAAATATACAGTACCTGGTTTATAAGGAAAAGCTGCTTTCAAACGCATTTTAGTTACACTGGTTGTATTAAAGCAAGTGTGCAGACCTACTTGCACTTAAGGCCTTATATGGCATTAAAATGCACCAAAGCCGTTTCTAAGATACCAGTATCTCCCCCCCCCCCCACACACACACACAACATCAACATTCACGTGTTGAAAGGCCATCTCTCTTCCGTCCGCTGGGAGGCACTCTCGCTATTTCTATTTAACGGAACGACCTATCTCCTGTTTTTCATTTCAAACTTGTGAAAGTGACAAGAGCCTTTATCCGATCGTTTCATATGCGTTTATTTCACACAACCCGGGAACCTAAATCCGACTTTCCTCAAACACAATTCCAAAATTCACATATGGAGTCATGATAAATGCACACACACACACACACACACAACATTAAAAAACATTTGAAAATCAATCAATCAATCAATCAAACTTTATTTATATTGCACTTTTCATACATAAAAATGCAACCCAAGTGCTGTGCAATTAAAACTTCAAAGGTAAAACGCAAAAAGAGGACTCCCCTCTCCCCCCGAACATACACAAATAGTTGTCCCCACAATATGCTGGCACGCACGCACGCACGCACGACACACGCACGCGCGCGCGCGCGCACACACACACACACACGCACACTAATAAAAGCACCTTAAAATCAATCCTAAAACACACGGGGAGCCAATGCAGCGATTTTAAAACTGATGTAATGTGTTCCCGCCTTCTGGTCCTTGTCAGGACTCGTGTGGCTGAGTTTTGGAGTACAGTAGTTGTAAGCTTGAAATGCTCTTTTAGGAAGACCAGAGAGCAGGGCATTACAATAATCCAAGCGAGAGGAAATAAAAGCACACATCAACACTTTGATGTTGGCCTGAGAGAGAAATGGGCGGACTCTGGCTACATTCTTGCGATCAACACAAACAGTACAGCAATAATTAACGTCGATTTCACTGGGTGTGGTTGCTCTTGTCAAGGGCCTGCAGCAAACACTTAAGACGGAAGGTGGCAGTGTTACTTGAGAAAACTCTTGTTAGTTTTTGTTTGAATTGTACTCATGCATACCGTATTCATATGAGGAGAAATTCAGCTGTTTGTTTATTTGGGTTGCACACCACACTGAGAAACAGACACCACACGCATGTCAGGCTGATGGGCATAGACATGAACTGTATTCTCTCGTTCCAAAGGCCAAGTCCTGAGAGCTGAACTCCTGCTACCCCAACTATGAACATGTACAGTATCAAATATGCATCCACTAATATGGCCTGGGGGGGGGGGGCGGGACACTGAAAACATTGTTTGTTGACCGATAAGAATGAGTGTTTTTCTTCCAGCCGTTCAAAGGTGAATATTTCAAGAATTCACTGGTCACAACTTCTCACTTGTTCTTGTTATCAAAAAATGTCAGAAATGATTATACTGACATCTATTTACTTAAATATGCCCTTTGGATAAAATATTTAACAGTGTTCTATTGAGGTTGGTCTGCTCCAGTTTAGTGAGTGGAGAACACTTAGTGTGACAGAAAACCTCTCCATCTTGTTTGACATTGGAAGCGTCTCTTATTGTGTTTGTGTGTGTAAGTGTGGGTGTGTGTGCGTGTGTGTATGTTTTGTGCTTTCACTTGTGTGTAAGGAGATACAATGGAAATGTTTGCCATTACTTTCCTCTGCTCCATCCCATTAGTCTCAGATATTGCACCCCTTATGAAAAAGTAGTATATAGGAAGTATGCTAAATAAAGTATATAAACTGTACTTTTTCATCCTAAATTGGAAGCGATTAAGGTTTAAAAGTAAACTGTGAGTATCTGTCTGTATACTTTTCAGTACAAGCCAAGTATACGTGAGTGAAGTTGATAAAATGTAGTATTTAACATGTACACTAAAAGTTTACTGTCTCCAATTTAGCATTAAAAAAAAGTTTGCCTATA